AGGTGTTCCCAGTGCAGAATCTGCTGCCACCACTTGGGCAGTGGTATGACTATGATTCTTTAGAATGTTCACAGTCAGCTGGTATTCTGGCAGGCTGCCAACTTTTTTCCTGAGTAATGAGAAAGAGAAGGGAAAATGTGTCTTACGCTGCTGTTGCTGGAGCTGAGAACTTCTCTGTGCCCTCTGCTTCTGCAGGGGGTCTTCAGCACCCAGACCCCCTTACTGGTGGAAACATTCAGCAGGAAGTCCATTGGCTGAAAGCCCCCTGTTGGAGCAGAGGAAATGTCTATGCTGCAGCCAGGAGCATGCCTCCCAGCCCAGGCTGACAGACTCACGCTAGCTCGGCTCCAGATAGCGCACTAAAATTAGCAGTGTGGACACTGCGGCTCCAAGCAGAGATCCAGGCTAAACATCTGAGCTTGGACCCAGGGGGTTGCTGAAAGGCAGTATGGCTAAGTGGATGAGATTTGAATCTTCCCTATGAGTAGGATGACCAGGCAGCAAGTGTGAAAAATCGGGACAGGGGGTGGGGTGGGGGGGTAATATAAGAAAAAAGTCCCAAAAATCGGGACTGTCCCTATAAAATCAGAACATCTGGTCACCCTACCTATGAGCTACAGGGTTGTGAGCCCAGCTCTGACAGAAGTGATTTTATGCAACCTCTCAAGTACCCCAGCTGCAAAATGAGGGAAACGGTATTTGCCTGCTTCCTAAAATAGGGGTGTGAGATCTTGCTCCATAACAATGGCTGTGAAGTACAAAGAAGTATTAACACCAGTCAGCAGAAGATCTTTTGGCTGCCAACCAGCCCACTTTCCCTTAGGCCAAAAGGGTCTTGGGGGTGCCTCTGTGTCCTGTCTGGAGCTCTAGCTCTTTGCCTACTATGTAGGACAGAGGGAGACTTGTGGGCACACTCATGCAGTTGGCATTTAGGAGCTCTGTGGGGTTACAGCATGCTTAGTGCAGATAGACAACCGGTAGAATTTAGAGCATCTCTAAATCCACTGAGTAGATGAAAATGGCAATTTTCAGAGGCTTATAACTCAGACAAATCTGGCTGGATTTTTACAGGGACAGAAAAAGCATCTCTCTGACTCCAGGGCTATCCCCACGCCAAATTTCAAATTCCTGCTTCAAAGCATGCACTCGCTGGTGCTCTTAAAATGTTTCCAAATGTTTCTATTTTTTCCTGATCCTCTTGGAAATGGCTGCAGAATTTTTGCTAAACTTTTGCCCACAAAATATAAATAAATCAATAAATAAAATCAAATACAAAAGTGAGTCCGAAGAAGAGCGCAAACAAAGTTAATCTCCAATGGTTAAAGTGTAGCAAAGTTATAAGCAAAGGGGAAAAGAAAAGATCTAATTTCTTAATTTTAGGATACAGATTTATGAGAGTTTCTTTCGAGAGGCAGTGTGTTCACGTGGATTGAGCAAACGACATGGAGCCTGCAATTACTACGTTACTAAACTTCTATGTCTTTCCCCTTCTGCAAAATGGCAGAACTGTAAATGTTATCTACCTCATAGGGCTGTAGGAAACATTAACCTCTTGGCAGTGATGTACTGATACCATGTCATAAGAACATAAGAATGGCCATATCGGGTCAGACCAATGGTCCATCTAGCCCAGTATCCGGTCTTCCAACAATGGCCAATGCCAGAGGCTTCAAAGGGAAGGAACAGAACAGGGCAATTATTGAGTGATCCATCCCCTGTCATCCAGTCCCAGCTTCTGGCAGTCAGAGGCTTAGGGATATTCAGAGCATGGGGTTGTGTCCCTGACCAGGTTAGCTAATAGCTATTGATGGACCTATCCTCCATGAACTTATCTCATTCTTTTTTGAATCCAGTTATATTTTTGGCTTTCACAACATCCAGGCAACGAGTTCCACAGGTTGACTATCCATTGTCACAACAAAAGGATACAGATCTCCCATCCTTTCCTCAAAGACATTTCTCGACGTTTGTTCCCTCCCATGTCACCCACATGCCCCAACCACTGGGCGCCTCTTTAAGCTCTCTCAGCCAGCCCTATCTCCCAGTTCTTTCCTCCACTGATCAAATGACCACCCTGTGTTCCTTTCTCTACCAGACTTCCACCCATCCACCTTCCAAATGTGGTTCCATCTGCTCCTCCTGCCCCATCACATGCCCTCCCCTTCAAGTTCTCATTCCAACACGTCCATCCTTGCTCATCTCTCTCTGACCCTCCAACTCCCACCTCTATTCCCCCCAAATCCCTCTAAATTTGAGACAGCTTTCCTAACAAATAAAACATTACACTAACCCCCCTTAGCACCATTTATTCAGGGGGTGGAATTTGGAATTACCAGCCCCTGTATCATGGAACTTTTTTTTAATTACCTGCCCAGTGCAGCTAGTTATATGACCTTGCCCAAGCAGCAGTTTGACCCACGTCCCATCTGCAATACCATTTTACCCTCCTCTCTGCTTACTTCACACCAGACACCTCGGGATTACCTCAGCTGACTGACCAGACTGTGGGCTGTTAGCGACCATCACTTGTAGGATCCTCAGCTGCAGATTGTTCCTCAGATTCCAATATTAAACCTCCAGGGGACTTTTTAAACTGACTCAGGGTAAGTCTAACACTGCACCTGTGCTGGTGTAGCACTTTCATGCAGACACTTCAACAGAAAGGGGGTTTCCGTCAATGTAGTTAATCCACCTCTCCAAGAGGTGGTAGTTTGGAAGAATTCTTCTGCTGACGTAGCTGTGTCTCCAGTGCGTGTTAGGTGAACCTAACTATGATGCACAGGGTGCTAAATTTTTCACATCCCTGAGCTATGTAGCTAGTTCGATCTAATGTTTAGGTGTAGACCAGGCCTCAGATAAAAAGCAGTCCCAAGTGACAGTTAATCAGATTAATATTTTGTTATTTAACCAGAGCACCAAGAATTAAACTTGCAGTAGTGTTTAAGGGGCATCTTTTATATTTAATAAAGACAGTGCTTTCCTCCTGCTCCCACCCAGAGGTGACTGCGCTGAGATTCCTGGATTTCATTAGGAGTGTACTAAGTATTTTGCTCTCTTTTTAAATTTTGGTTACAGCTAAGAGCTGGAATTACTGACAGACCCTTCTTATTACTGATGCCTACTTCCAAATTTTAAACTTTAGACATTTTAGTGTGGTTAGAATTCTAAAAACAGAAAAGTGTTAATGTTTATTTTTTTCACCCTCCCTAATTCACAATCAATTTAAAGATTTTGTCATCAACCTTCTCAAAAACAATCAACTTTAAGTAGACACTCAACACAAGAGGCAGTGGAGTCTTGTGGCTAAGGTGCTGCAGTGGTACTCAGGACATTGGGGCTCAATTCCCAACAATGCCACACACTTTTTGTGTTACCATGGGCAAGTCATTGATTTTGTATCTCTGCCTCAGTTCTTGACCTGTAAAATGGGGATGTAATAGTTCCTTTCTCCCAGCTTTTGTGTATCTTGTGCATTTAGAAGTTAAGCTCTTTTAAGACATGGAGTGTCTCTCACTACCTGTATGTACAGCACCTAGCACAGCAACATCCTCATCTTGATTATGGCCTCTAGGCACTAACACAGTAGGCTGAGGAGATAGAGGAGGGTTACGTAAGGGAGATCTTTCCTCCTTCTGGGGGGACTCTTTGGTACCCTTTCTTCTTGCAAAACTGTACTTTGTTCCAGAACTCACATCATCTGTGAGCCATGCTATCCCTGTAAGTTTTCTTCCTTGGTTGAATACCTCAGGGTAAAGGCTGGCTGTTGGGATGCTCAAGTCTGGACATTCAGGGATGCACTAAGCATGATCAGTGCTTCACAAGATGTCCTTTTCTTGAGCCCAATTGCCATGGCTATCGTGCTGGGCAAAGCTGTGGAAAGTATGGAGACTTAGGTGCCATTGAAATTCACATCATGCAGGAGCTTTTGAGTGGAAAATACCCTCTGGACTAAAGCTATGTCTTTATAGCGGCATAGTCAAAAGCATCATGAAACTTCTTCAGACCATTAGATGTAGAGTGAATAAAGGGTCAAATCCTGAGCTGGTGTGAATGAGTGCAGCTCTGGGATTTGGCCCATAATCTGTAAAATTACTTTAAAAAACCATGAACTGTTCTGCAGACCACCATAAATTAAGGCATTTGGAAGCATCCAGAACTTTGTTCATTAAGTGAAAATATAACTAACCAACTTATATACCGAGTTAACATTAGCTTTTCAACCTAAATTGCACAAAATAAGTCTTCTTCAGATGTACAGTACTAAAGATATCCATGTAACAAAGCAATCAGCATGCAGCAATCAGTTCTGCATGCTCTTACCTCAACTGAGCATTACATCGCTTCACATGTTTTCAGTGTGACCTCTCTTTTTAGTATAATCCAGGGGTCGGCAACGTTTGGCACGCGGCTCACCCAGGTAAGCACCCTGGCGGGACGGGCCAGTTTATTTACCTGCTGACGCGGCAGGTTCGGCCGATCGCGGCCCCCACTGGCCGCGGTTCACCGTCCCGGGCCAATGGGGGCGGTGGGAAGCAGCGCGGGCAAGGGATGTGCTGTCCGCGGCTTCTTGCCGCCCCCATTGGCCCGGGACGGCAAACTGCAGCCAGTGGGGGGCGCGATCGGCCGAACCTGCCGCGTCAGCAGATAAATAAACTGGCCCGGCCCGCTAGGGTGCTTACCCTGGCGAGCCGCGTGCCAAACGTTGCCGACCCCTGGTCTAATCACAATATTTTCAACACAACTTTAACATTCCTTTGCAAGCTCTCCCCAACTCAGTATGCTAGGATTTTAAAAATGAAAGAGATCAAGTGAGCAAAATGTATTTCTACATATACAGATCAGGATATCTAATCAAAGTACTAAGCTACTTGTACAAACCAAACTTGCACAGAAGGGTTTCCTGTCACATATGAATGAGTATTGAAAATACAACATTCAGAAAAACTTGCAAAGAAGAAGGTGGGATGGAGGGGAGGAGAGTAACAAAGTAAAGTAATTACCTATCTCCCTTTGGTTTTCTTTTCTGTACTGTCTTCCCTTTGGGTCGTCTCTCACTTCCTAAACAGGGGCTCCCACCAGGGCCTGTTACCCGTATTGATTCAAGGCCTTTGGAAGATTTCTTAAAAGTAAATTCCACTGGTTCGCCTTCCTTTAGGCTTCTAAATCCTTCCATGTAAAGCTTGCTCTGTAAATAGGAAAAATATTCTTGGTTACTATTGCCTTAAAAACAAAGTTGACAATTATAATAACAGGACAATATTAACTTTCCTGTTATGTTTATCCTACAAGACACAGGTTGAATTGGGTTCCCTTAATAAGATCTACTAAAGATACTACACTTATGGTCATGGGGAAAACATTCTTCAAGCTTAAGAAATAATGAGATTCTCTTTTTGGATATGAACAAAATTGAAATAATAATTTCCTTATTCTCTGCTGAATTGATATGGGCTTTTGGGCTGCACAAATCTAAAAGTGCTGTATGCTAAAAGTGCTGTATGCTCATACAATTCTCTGTAGAAACTTTCTGCAGTTTAAGGCATTTTAATAGAAACAGAGAAGACAAAGCTAATAGGTTTTTAAAAAAAAAATAGGAAGAAAAGAGAGCAAATGCTCCCTCTCTAAGTGAACCTAGATATTGAGTTCTAGTTTGATGATCAAAATGCAACCTTTAAAAGAAAAGGGGGGAAAAGGATAGATTAATTTTCAAACTAGCAGAAGTAAAGAATAATGAGCAAAAAGAATGAAAAAGGAGCTACCAACAAAATGAATTGCAAAGGGTAACTCAGTTACTCCAAGTGAACTGCTAAGTTAGCATTCGTTGCCAGTAAAACTTATCTTGTTAGTATGATCTTAGTATGGATTTATTCTTTGATCCAAGAAAAGCAAATCATTATCACCAGGGTCAGAGAAACAAAACCGCAACACTGATAATCTTTTGGTATATGCTTCTAGCGTGAAATCCTGCACCAATGAAGTCAATGGGAGTTTTGCAATTGACTTGAATGAGGCCAGGATTTCACTCCTCATCTCAAATCCTCTGAATGCTATATAGTACTAAGTCTATATCCAAGGATAAATTTGCTGAATAAAACACTTGGATGAAATGGTTAGCAAGTTAAGTGAAACAGAATAGAATGTAAAAAGGAAGACAAGACGACGACTCAGGTCTTATTAAATGTTTATTCAAAATGTTATATTTAACACAGACAAGATTAGTGGGACTATAAAGTGAATATTACAGAATCACTGGCCATACCCAATACTTGAACTGAGCGTTTATGTTTGTTATAAAAACTAAAGGGAAGGGGAACACTTTTTTGTTGTTATTATTGGTTTGTGAATACTTCAGAATAGACAACACATCTGAATTGACTCATACAAGCTCCCAGCCAGTACTCTCTTGGCTAAACCATAGAGTCAACAAAGGGAAGCAATCTTAACTGTGGAGGTAGGATGTGCTGTAGTGGTCTGGAAGGTAGCTGGACACTAACGCCATCAATAGTCAACATTTTTCCATTCAACCACGTATAGGGTAGAGCTGGAGAACACCAAGGGATGCTCTTGACCACATATAGACAGCAAGAAGTCCAACATCGCAAGGGCAATTGGGGGGACAGTGAGTCTATACTAGCCTGCTAGGACCCCCATTTGTGTCAATTGAGCCTGGCATCCTGTAAGCGTGCGGGACTCACCCCTGCAGCGCCTCCTGCTGGTCTCTTCTGGGAATTAGCTCATCGACCCAGGAGCGCACTCTGCAGGCTGGTGTCCCACTACCGCTTGGTCCCCCTGTCCCTCCCGGACCCGGTGCCCTGTTGTCTGGGGTGTTGCCCCCTGGCAATAACCCCTCACAGCTCTGGGTCTCCCCCTCCCAGGGGAACCCCCACCCACTATCCCCACTTCGCCTCAGTCTTGGCTACTGCCCAGTCTCCATCTAGCCCCCATTCACTGGGGCAGACTGCAATATAAGCCACTCATCACAGGCAAAGGGGTTTGGACCTGCTGCCTCTGCCTACTCCTGGGCTGCTCCCTGCAACTCAGTACCTAATAGGCCTTACCAGGCCTGCAGCCTGGGGCTTTCCTAGGCCAGAGCTCCCCAGCTCCCTTGGCCTTTCCCCAGCACTGCTCCACTCTAGGCACTTAGTTAAGCTCCCTGCAGCTAGGCCCTTCTCTCTCTGAATGCAGAGAGAGACTGTTGTGCTCCTGGCTCCCAGCCTTTTTATACAGGCCAGCTGTGGCCTGATTGGGGTGTGGCCCAGCTGCAGCCGCTTCCCCCATCAGCCGAGGCTTGCTGCTTTCCTAGCAGCAGCCCTCTCACAGTCTGAGCCCTCTCCCAGGGCTGATTTCAAGCCCTTCAGAGCCAGAGCGGGTACCACCCCGCTACACGTCCCCACTGTAATATCTTCATTGGGAAGTACTGGGAGGAAGGCTAGTCTTGTGGTTAAGGCATGGAAGCAACACTGAGACAGGAAGATTTGGCTCCTGTTCCTATCTCTGCAGACTTCCTGTGTGGGCTTAGACAAATGAAGTCACTTAATTTTTCCATGCCTCAGTTTCCCTATCTGTAAAGTAGACACTATCAAATACTTACCTATCTCACAAGGTACTGTGAGATTAAACTAATGATTGTAAACCTGTTTGAAATCCTCATTTGGAAGAAACTATGTGAGTCCACACACAGGCATGCACACAATAAAAGAACTCCTACCTACTGGGCTCCGACAGTCTACTGAGCAGTGGCCATTCATGGTGATACGGGAAATATATTATTGGATTCCAATGCACTATGAGTCACAATATCAGTACAGGCTGACAAAGGGATCTGGCTGCCTTTAGGGAAGGAATTGCAGGTTTTTCAGCAGCTACAAGCACAGCAGATTCATGGATCCACTGGTTAGGATGAGGAGTGTTTGGGCATGACCGATCCTGCAGCTTGGGTAGAGGAAGTTGTTGGACCACGATGTTGTAACAAGTGTGACGCGTGGAGCAAACACTGGCCTCTCCTGGTCAGAGGGGGGATGTCTGCACTGCAGCTGGAAGCGAGTCTCCCAGAGTAGGTAGGTAGATCGGGTAACTCAGCTCGAGCAAGGGCGCTAACAATAGTAGCATGGATGATGTAGCACAAGTGGCAGCTTAGGCTAGCAACTCAAGTCCAAGCCCGCCTGACCCCTGGCTCTGAGCTCTGGGCTAGCCATAACAGCCAGTCTGCTAGTTTTAGCATGCTAGCGTGAGCAAAGCTCCTGCAAGTCTGTTAACCTGCACTGGGAGGCTCACTCCCAGCTGCTGTGTAGATGGCCTTAGTGTCCACTGTTTAAAAGGAAAAGACATGAAAGGGAGGAGTTTGCAGATATCTGTACCCCGCTTTATGCTTTTGGCAGTTGCTGGGAATGAAGGTAAAGGTGCTGATAAGGATGATCCAAAGTGATCAAAGTGGAACGCAGTATTTATTATATTAGCTTGTGTGATCTGCAAAAATGATCCAGGAAGAAGCACTCCGCTTTAAAATATCGGGTTAGAATTAGGGGGACTCATGTCACATGTGTGTGATTTCCAGGCGCCATTATAAATTCACAGTATGAACAGGGGAGGACACATTTAGCCATTGATTGAAATGGACTCCTGCCTCCAACTGGCCCATGATACAGGCCTTCACTGCCCACTTCATAGAATCATAGGACTGGAAGGGACCCCGAGAGGTCATCCAGTCCCCAGTCCCCTGCACTCATGGCAGAACTAAGTATCTAGACCACCCCTGACAGGTGTTTGTCTAACCTGCTCTTAAAAACCTACAATGATGGAGATTCCACAACTTCCCTAGGCAATTTATTCCAGTGCTTAACCACCCTGACAGGTAGGAAGTTTTTCCTACTGTCCAACCTAAACTGCCTTTGCTGCAATTTAAGCCCATTGCTTCGTGTCCTAACCTCAGAGGTTAAGGAGAACAATTTTTCTCCCTCTTCCTTGTAACAACCTTTTATGTACTTGAAAACTGTTACGTCCCCTCTCAGTCTTCTCTTCTCAATTTTTTTCACTCTTCCCTCATAGGTCATGTTTTCTAGACCTTTCATAATTTTTGTTGCTCTTCTCTGGACTTTCTCCAATTTATCCACATCATTCCTGAAATGTGGTGACCAGAACGAGACACAATTCTCCACTTGAGACCTAATCAATGAGGAGTAGAGCAGAAGAATTACTTCTCGTGTTTTGCTTACGACACTCCTGCTAATACATCCCAGAAAGATGTTTGCTTTCTTTGCAACAGTATTACAATGCCAATGTTCCCTCTATTTTTTTCTATCCATGTGTGAAATGAATTTTGTTATGTGCACCAATATCAAGGTAATGTGCAGATGTGCACCACCCATAGAAACAAAAAACCTAGCTATAATATATATTTTTAAAAAGTTACCATAGGGATAATTATTCCAGCCAGGACAGGTTAGGCATTTTAGAACTCACTACTCAAAGAATTAAATTTAAGTGTAAGAGAGAAATAAAAATTATGAAATGCATAGACCAGTCAAAAAACTGAAATAACAGCACTTTGAAAGAATAAAATTACAGAGAATATATGAACATTGCAGGAAGTACTGTACTAAGAAGTAACAACAACAATACAAGTATGTGTTGGGAGGTGAGTGTGAAAGACAGAGTGTGTGTGAGACAGAGACACACAGGGTGTGTGTGTGTGTGTGTCTGAGTGAGAGAGAGAGAGAGAGAAACTGTGTGTGTGTGTGTGTGTGTGTGTGTGAGTGAGTGAGTGAGTGAGTGAGTGAGTGAGAGAGAGAGAGAGAGAGAGGTGCGCTTCCCCATTAAGTACGCTGCCCCTTTAAGTAGATTGGCACTCCCCAGTCTGAAGCCTGCTTGTTCAGACACAGCAGCAGCTGCCAGTAAGCTCCATCCCATACCTCACTCCTGAGCCTGTTGTGTCTCCCCACCCCCATGGAGATGGGGTACAGGGGGAGGGGGATACTCTGACATCAGCACCCCGCTCCCCTCTCACACACCCGCTCTGCACAGTAAGCAGGAGGCTCCCAGGAACAGCTGGCCAGGGGCTCCAAGGCAGAGAGCAGGAGCAGTGCGGTGGGGGGAAGGGGCCCCTGAAGTGTGCGGCCCTTGATAGACTGCTGGGAACTTAGCTGTTAACTCATATTTAGCTTGTGATCCACTATAACCTCCAGATCC